TTCCTTTAATGGCGGCAGAAGATGATAAAAGTGGACTATTGGAGAAGATTGCAGGCTTAAAGTCGTAGAGAAGCGGCTGTTCCAACCGCTGCATTTCCGAATTCTCCCGAGTGATGCACGACTTTACATGAGTGAACAAAGTGAACGTGATTGGTTGTTTATCAAGGCGGCGGGATTATTGGTGGTGGAAGCTTCGTAAGCAAGTTTGGTTGTGGCAGGTGTCTCGGAAGCATCTTGCTAACCAGTTAGCAACTTAGTGCTAGTAGGTTCCCAATGGGAACTTGAAGAAATCGGGAAAAAAATGGGAAATCGAAAAAATTTGATTGACAGATGACCGTTGATATATGATTGGCCGAATTTAGGTGTTCAAGCTGACGTAGAACTAACTGGCCTGCATAAGATAACGAAAAAAAACCCACAATTTTAACACAGGATTTTTTTTTTTTTTTTATAAAAATGTTCTACATTTTGGGACAATATTGTCTGATAAAGAGTAGATTTATATACATGTTTAAGCCAGAATGATTTGACATTTTAATATGATATCCCTCCGACTTTAAAATGGAGATGAAGCAGAGATGGTGAAAGGAACATTGAAAGCCAGCAGATGAAAGACAAGAGGCGAATGACAAGCCAGAGGATAGAGAGAGATGTAAAGGGATGGAGGAGCTGTTCCTAAGGGTCTGGCTTTGGTCACTCTCTTCTAAAGGCACATTTTCAAGGTGGGACACCTCAGGTACAAGAAGATGGTCACTCAGATTTTGAATACAGAGCCCTGAGATGATGGATTCAAGTCTTTGTTCTTTCTTCCAGTACATTGTATCTTAGAGAAACCCCCCTATTTGCCACTTCCCTTACGAAGGATATACATGTAGCCTGAAAACATGACTCATACACCAGTGTTGCTATTTCTGGGGCTAGGGACTGCCTGGCAGAGAATAAGGAAGGGAGGGAGGGAGGGATCAGCGCTGATTCAGGTGTTAACAGTCTGGGGTCTACTTTCCTCAGATCAACACTGATGTACTATTATAGCCAGATCAGCCCCGGTGACGGCTGGTTTTTTTTTTTATGCGATAGCTGAAGACTTTGCATATTTTCAAAGAATTTTCATGACATTTTAAACTCTGTTTAGTCATTTCTGGATGTTTGTTACATAAACGTCTCCCCACAGAGCACATGGTTGACAGCTTGTCACACTTTCAGCAACATGTTTGTATCCCCCCCCCCATAGAAATGCAAGGCTAATATTCACAGCTCTAAAATGTCAACACAAAAGCAAACTTATTCTAACTTGTTAAAAAAAGGTGCTAACAAGAACATAACCCTAATTTCATGCTTAATATTGGGAAAAAAAACTCAACTGAAATCAATATCTGGAAAGGCAACACTGAAAGTTATATTTATTGTGCTTGTAATATATTCAGGTTAGAGCTAATAATCAATTAAGAAGTCCTGAGCCAAAACCTAATTTATATACTATATTTTTTGGACTATACGTCGCTCCGGAGTTTAAAGTCGTAGGGAAGCGGCTGTTCCAAACGTTGCATTTTCAAATTCTCCCAAGTGTTGACACGACTTTACACGAGTGAATAAAGTGAATGGTCCTTTATCAAGGGGGCGGGATTGCTGGGGCTGAAGGTTCGCCAGCAGGTTTGGTTGTGGCCGGGTTCTCGGAATCATCTTGCTAACCAGTTAGCAACTTAGTGCTAGTAGGTTCCCAATGGGAAATTCCATTGGGACCAAGTAGCACTAAATTGGACTTTTCCTTTAAACTAAACGGCTATTTAAAAATTATCTGGATTGCATGTGATCTCTTCTTTTCAGAACATGTGAGGGGAGCGGAGCGTGTAGAGAGCGGACGAAATATGGTGGAGCGCGGAGCGGTTTTTTAATTACAAGGCCAGAGTGAGGATTTCACCCTGCTCCAGTTCGCTCTGATGCGCTCACAATGTCAATTAAAAATGTTGGATTATAAAATTTGTAAAATAACACTTATTTAAGTCTAGTAAAATAAAATTATAGTTAAATAGGGAACACGGGGCAACATGGATGGAGCGGCGAGTGTTACGTTCCCAGCTATAACAATGCGATAGTTTAACAGCTAGTTAACTAAGACAACACACATGTATCTGTTACATTAAATGAAACACCGTGTGTCCCAGGGTGCTGGCATAATTACATGAAGGAAAAATGTTAGAAAATGCCTTCTCCTGAAAACATGAGAGAGCAGGAATGAATCCACGGAGTGGCAGAAAAATTAAGGTGAGCGCGGAGCGGATTTTGAGCGGAGGGTCCTGGGGCAACTTTGAGGGGCGGAACGAATGAGTGAATATCCTCCTGAGCGCAGAGCGAGAATTGTGCGGCGCACCGCTCCGTTCAAATGCTCTGCTTCATCTAAAGATCTACTATACGTCCGTCTATCATAGATAGATATA